TTATTTTACACTGTCATACTTTAAGTAATAGAAGTATTATATTATATTTATTTCATTTTTATTATTGTATATTACTTTTTTCCTTTTCATTAAAATCAAAGAATATATACATGTATTATTTTACACCATCATACTTTTATTATGTACAAGTACTATATTAATTTCATTTCATATTTTCTGCAACTTTGGAATATTTTATATCGCACAAATAATACCCCAAAGTTACAAAAAAATAAATAAACGGATATAGTATATTTTTTTTGAAGACAGAGGTAGTATATAATATATTTCGATATACATCAGTTAACAAAACTATCTCATGTTCGATAGCTATGAAAGTCCGAGCCCATAACGACAAATTCCTATAACCGCCACTGCTCTAATCTCTTCCATTATTTTGGTCACCATCTCTATCATCCAATCATCCTTCTCTTCATGCTTCATCGCTGCCCAACCAGGTAATCATATTAAAACCTTTAATCATCTATGTTTGCTTGCTTGGTTATTTATATTATCGTTGCTGTTGTTTTTTTATAAAGTTTTTGAAATAAATAAATATTATCGTTTGAAATTAGGGTTTTATGGAAAATAAATTCCAGACTTAATTAAACGGATGAAGATCAGATTATGATTGAAGATGTAGATTATGTTGAATTGATTTCCTTGTTGGTGAATTTCGAATTGGATTTCATCATGTTAGAATAATGATAGAATAATAATGATGTTGAATTGAATCTCTATCGATGAATTGATTTCCTTGTTGGTCAATTTCGAATTGAATTTCATCATGTTAGAATAATGATAGAATAATGATGTCAAATTGAATTTTTGTCGACGAATTGATTTCCTTGTTGGTAACTTTCGAATTGAATTTCATCAAATAATGATAGAATAATGATGTCGAATTGAATTTATATCGATGAATTGATTTCCTTGTTGGTAAATTTCGAATTGAATTTCATCATGTTAGAATAATGATGGAATAGTGATGTCGAATTGAATTTCTATCGACGAATTGATCTCCTTGCTGGTAAATTTCAAATTCATATCTGGCATACGAAGAATCTATGAGCCTTTTTTTGATAAATTTAAAAACTCTTTTTATAATGTTGCATATTTTCATAATAGTGTTGGTAACAATGTCTAATAAAAGACATTAAAAGATAGCTTGCCCTCATGCCATGTGGTAAAAAATTGTAGCAGACCGCTATCGGATCACTGGGATCCATTGGCACATTTTTCCACCAATAAACTATCTCAAACACCCCCATTGCCGGGGTCTCGTTGTCGCCTTTGGCTTCAACTACTTTATCATTGCCAGCCCCTAGGTTCTCCTTCGTCTCTTTCATTTTTATTTGTTTACTTATAACAAAGAAATCTTATCTTAGTTCCTCATTAGTGAGTCGATAACCGAGCTCTAGGCGCTTTCGAAGAATCATAGTTTTTAAAAGCGCCCGGTATTGATTGAGCTCCAGCTCCAATGTCTTAATTCAATTGTACAACATTATCAAAATCAGCTTTTTGTATATATAATTATTAACAAATTATATATAAATTGTTCATAAATTAACAATACGTGAATAATTCGTAAATTAACAAATAAAGTGAATAGTGATGTCGGATTGAATTTTTATCAACGAATTGATTTCCTTGCTCGTAAATTCCAAATTGAATTTATATCTGGCATACGAAGAATCTATAAGCCTTTTTTTATACTTGTTCAAGCTAGATTGTTGGAAAAAATTCATTTATAATGATGGATGAAAGGAAGTGGGCTCCACGGATCACGAGAAAGTGGACAAGATTTAGGTCACCCTCACCCTCATCTTCACCGCAACAAGGGGTAAAGGATGTATGTGTCTGTGTTCATTTGATATATCATAATGAAGATTAGGGTAAGCGAAGGGGAGGGGTGTAATCCCCCGTATTTTTAAAATATATTATAAATGAAATTATATATTATTTATAATATTTATTTGTATTTTTCCGGAATTTAATTTCAAAAGTTTCAATTTTTAATTTTGGGTCGAAAATTATTTTGGTACAGATTTTTATACATACCTTCATTCTATAATTCATGTCCAAACAATCAAAGCCAATCTCACTTTACATATTTAATTGACCCATTAATTTTATGAGGCTCAATCTTACAACTTGCCCTACACCACTCTCTCTCCTATAAATACCCCATACATCCCCAAAATTTTTCCCACACTAAAGGTTAGTCTTATTATCTCTCATCTTTATTTTATTTTCTTATTTTCCTTTTATTTTTATTTTTCTTTTTCCTTTCATTTTCTTTTCTTCCCTTTTTTTTTCTTCTTTCCCTTTCCTCCTCCTTCACGTGAGAAACTCTCACTGTTGCCCCTGTTCATGGCTGCTGCCACCAGCCACCACCGGCGCGCCTCCTTGCCGCCACCTATGTGACCGCCGGCGACCACTAGGCAGCCCAGCCGTGGCTCCTTCTTCTTCCTCCTTAGTTTCATTAACTTGCTTAATGTTAATTCAATTTGTTTTGGGTTTTGATTTTGTAGTATAAAGATTATATTTTTAGTATCAAAATCATGTTTTTGATAGCTTAAACCTATAATTTCAAATTTTAATTGTGTTATATATTTTCATATTTTATAATTTTAAAACCTAGGGTTTCAATTTATTTAAATTGGATTTTAGGGTTCTTATGACTAATTAAATTGGGGCTTTTGTTCCTATTGGATTTCTATAGATTAATTAAGCATAAAAACATGTTTTTAATGAAGTTTTAAGAACTTTTAATCAAATTTATATTGCTGAAAATTTGGTTAAGTATTAATTTATTGTTGTTGCTTGTTTTCTAGGAAGTGATTATTTCTTAGGAGACTTTTAAGTGATTAAAAGTGGCACAAAGGATTGTTTACACGAGGTACGTACATGTCTACTTCGTTGTAAGTAGTATCATGTTTAGGTACCAAAGAAAAGAACTTAGTTTCATGATTAGAGAACACTTGGATGAAAATTGTTTGGTTATACATTTAATTAATTCATGTGCTTATGTTTATGAGATATGTTTTGATGAATTGATTATGTTTTTATGAAATTATGGATGCAAACATGTTGAATTATATTGGATTAATGGTTTGTATGGAATGTTGATACAAGCATAATTTTATTGGATTGGTTTGTTAACCACATTTGGATCATTAAAGGATTGGAATTTAATGGTTTAAGTGGAATGAATTTATTAATTATTCCACAAGGTTGTTATTTATTTTATTTATTACTCAATCATGACTCGTTAGTATGTTGAGTAAAGGTGGATTAAGCCGAATGGATAGGTGAGTTGACTATGTTCAACAATTTTGGATAATTTGGAAGTTAATGAAATTAAAGGTCAATTTGTGATGTGATCATCATTGTCCTAAATAAGATTAAAAGTAAATTGATGTATGATTTTTATGTATGGTCTATTTGATTGAGTCGGCTATTAATTAAAATTGTAATCACGTAAAGTGAAACATGGATTAGCAATAAAACTCTAGAAAGCGTGCACTTCTAGAGTATTCACAATTATGGGTTGGGGTACACGGTGGTAGCCCGTGGCTTTCCGAGGCTTGTTTGATCAGCATGTCCTCTTCTCTTTTGGTATTTACATTTTTATTTTATAATGAAAGTTAGATGGGATCCTAGACTAACTTTATGAGAATGGAGTCGCGCCCATTCTTGCATCGCGCTAAACTTTTATTTTAAATGGTCATTTGGGACTAAAATGATTTGGTGGATTGGACAACCTCGTCTATTGCTTACTCCAAACTAAATTAATTAAATTAAATATAAAGAGTCAAGTGTTTGGAATTGATTAGCAAGTATGTTGAGTCAATTGAATTGTTTAAGTGTGGAGTCTTGATTAATGAATTTAAGTTGTATGTTTATTTACTTTAATTAGTTGAGCATGCTAGGTTTGGTACGTTGTAGCTTGTATGTACTCAGCTTTGCTGATTGCGTGCTTTTGTGTGTTTTCTTTTGGTCATGGCCTTCGCCTTTCAATGACCATGATCCAATTATTACACTTGTATTATTGGGGAGCAGTATTGCACAGGTTAGATTGATGATGTGAAGTTCGGTGATTTGATATACGCATTGTCAAGGGATTGGTGTGATTGAGAGAATTCGTTCTTCGTGTTGAACTTATTTATGTTTTACTACTTTAATTATGTTTTGGGACTTTGATTATTGGTTTGGTTTTAAATAAGGGCCTTTATGGTTCCAATTTGTAAGCTTTGACTTATTGGGTTTCTAAATTATGTTATTTAAATATTTAAGTTGGATTTCCGCTGCAATACTTTGATAAAGCCTTAACATTTTAACACGTAGCGGTAACATGACAATGGTTCTCCTCTATTTTTATTTAAAGTAAGTGGTTTGGAAAAGGGGGAATTATTGGGGTGTTACAAGGGGGGTCGATTTCAGTGGGGGAAACGGGGCTGGGGGGAAGGGGAAAGGGGTGGTTTTGGTTCGAGGTGGGGGTCGGGGCAGCGAGAACAGGGAAAGGGAAGGGGTTCGTTGTGATGGCTGGTCGGGGCAACGAGAACGGGGAAAAGGAAGGGATTCGCCAGTGCCGGTCGCAGCTTTAGGCGCCGGCCGCCAGTAGGGGGGCTGGGTGGCTAATGGTAGGGGTGTTCAAATCCGGGTACCCGGGTTTTCGGGTACTTGTTAGCTTGCCCCGACCCGAATAGCCCGGGTACCCGGATTCCGGGTACCCGAATTATTCGGGTCGGGACATGGGTACCCGGATCTCTTTTTATTTTTTTTAAAATTACTTTTTTTCTTAATATTATGTATTTATCCCTGCTGTAATTTAATTTATTTTAATAAAAAACATGTAATTTAATTTATTTTAATAAAAAAATCTGCTGCATTTTTTTTTTTTGTAAAAATTCCAGATTTCATTTTTTGTAAAAACCTGCTTCATTTTTTTTTTTTGGTAAAAACCTGCTGCATTTTTTTATTAAAAAAGAAACCTGTTCTGCTTTTATGCTTTATGCATGTTTTTCCAGAATTAATGCAGTAAAATGTAGCCCTTGACTTCCTTGAGTACCTGCTACATTTTAGTAACCTGTTTTAACATATTAAAGTGCTAATTAAAAGCTAAAGTTTAGGGGAAGTCATTAGTTACATAATTCCAAACATACAAATTACAAATACAAAGTACAATAATATAACAAAGCCACAATGCAAATTAAATAAGCTTGGAGGTCGTGTTTCATTCACTTGTGAGATTTGAAACTTCAGTTGTCTCATCAATAATAATCGTTGGTTGCTCCAAAACCAAGTCTTTAATTCCTACAAAACCAAATAATGCAAAAAAATAATTACGTATAAAAAATAATTACATAACAAACTTACATCAATTCAAGACATATACAATTATACAGTGAGACAAATCAGTCCATATATGTTAATATACATAAAAAAACTCACAAATTAATGAGATTATACAACCAGTCCATACATGCTAATATACAAGGAACATAAGAGGAGCAATTACAGACAGTGAGTCAAATCCTCATGCCATACATGTTAATAGAGATTATACACTATACAGACAGTGGTGAACTGGTGACAAATCCTCATGCCGTACACAAATACAGATAGTGAGACATACAAATTCAAGACCACGAATTTGAGCAAACGCAATACACTATCAATAGAATGCTATAATTATATTCATACATCTTACCAATAGAATGCTATAATTATGAGCATAATAAAGTAATATCAATATTACAGTATTGTAGATATAAATTCATATAATGCACAAATGAGGATCTTATATCAATTGCAAATTACATTCCATGAACAAACGCAATACCACGAAATTGAGCACGAAATACACTACAAATTTAGTACAATTACCACGATAAATTGTTTCCACAATTAGCACAATTAGCACGAAATAGTGAAATCCACTATCAATTAGCACGAAATACACTATCAATTAGCACGAAATACACTATCAATTGGATCACCACAAATTACAACGAAATTAAACTTGCATGAGAAAAGAAATTACCTGAGACTGAAGGCTTAAACTCGCTTGAACTTGAACTAGTGAAGGGAAGATATGTGAAGGAAGAAAAAGGCAAGAAGACAGAGCAGGAAGAGAGAGAGAGGTAGGAAGAGAGAGAGAGGAAGAGAGGGAGCGGCGGAGAGAGAGAGAGAGGAGATTGAGCACCCTAATTTCGTGAAAGGGGGCTGTTTGAGGAAGTGAGGAGTTTTGACTTTTGAGGGTGAATTTTTTTTTTTTAATTTTTCATTCGGGTAATCGGGTACTCGATTTTGGAAAAATCCGGCCCATGTCCCGACCTGGATAGAAGGCAGTTTTCCCGGGTCGTGTACCCGACCCGAAAAAACAGGTTTTTTTCGTAAAATTCCCATCGGGTATTTGCCGGGACAGCGGGTCAACAGGTCGGGTTTTTTTGAACACCCCTAGCTAACGGGACTACGTGAGGGGCTGGGCTTGGTGCAGTGGCTGGTTTTTGTAAAAAAAAAATAATTTTTTTTTGTGGCTGACGGGGAGACATTTAGGGTGGCTAGGATGGAGTGGTGGCTGGAAGGTGGTAATGAGGGTGGTTGGATCTCTCTAACGGAATTATTAACGGATTCCGTTATCTGGTAGCAAAATTTTAAAATACGGGATTTGATAGGTAGTAAATAAAATAAAAGTTTTCCCAGTTAGCAAAAGTGAATTTGATGTGTTTCAGAGGTAGCAAAGTCAAAATAAAAAAAAAACAACTTTCAATAAGGAAATCACCATTAGGGGCGTTCAAAAAAACCCGACCCGACTGTCCCGACCCGCTGTCCCGACAAATACCTGATGGGAATTTTAGGAAAAAAACCTGTTTTTTCGGGTTGGGCACCCGTCCCGGGAAAACTGGCTTCTATCCGGGTCGGGACATGGGCCGAATATTTTCAGAAACGGGTACCCGATTACCCAAATTAAAAAAAAAATAAAAATTCCCCTCAAACTCCTCACTGTAGGTAGTGTAGACACCCATTTGTGTCTCCCCAAAACCAAACCCAGTGATGAGTGCCTTTCACGTCGAATCATAATCGAATGAAACGAAAGTGTGGAAAGGTCTAGTGTTGCGGAAAGTTTTATTTCTTTTATTTTCTCTCTGTTTTTGAAAACTTTATTTTAGGAAAACAGCCAATCCGGTTTGGTTGGTCCATGATATGGGTCCAATAGTGGTGTAGTTGGGTGGGGTTTACAAAGACCTTTCCAACGATATATTATAAGCCCAATTCCGATGAATATTGAGGAATTTATGGCCAATTTACTAAACTGGGTCCGGTTTGAGTTTTAAGTACGGCCCAATGATCTAGGGGAGGGCCTAATATGATTTATCATTCCTAATGTAATTAGGAATGGTTTTGGTCTTCTAGAACATTCTAGAAGGTCTTATCATTCTTAATTCAATTAGGATTCTTTAGAGTTTTAATTAGATCAAATAGCATTTTCGACTGAAATTATATTATTTTATCTTCCAGTACGGTAAAATTATCAGATTTTCGAAAACGCGTTGAAATCCAATTTGGCGTCCAACCCCAGGCCTTGGCGCCTGGAATCAGGATTGGCGCCTGACGCCAGCCATTGGCGCCTGGCGCTAGCCACTAGTCCTGGCGCCAATGAGCCAGGGCTGGCGCCAAGGTGGTTTTGCGATCTTCAGGCTCTGTTTTGATAAATTATCTTTTTTGGATGTTTTTCTCTATAAATATCGTATCAAAAACTCCGTTTTCATCAATCAATTACCATTCATTAATTCTCTTCATTCAACATTAACATCTATCATTCACCAATTCTCTTTATTCTTAAGTCTTCATCATCATTATTCATCAATTAGTATTCATCTACAGTCAAATAATCCTTTTCATTCATCTCTTTTCATAAACTTTCATCAACATTCTCTTCTTTCTCTCTCTCTTTTCTAAACTAGCCTTTTCTCAAATAAATAATTCCGCATTCACAAGATCTAGAAACACTTAGCCATATTCGAAGTTGCCTTCGCCCTAGACGTGAAAGGTTTTAATTTCTGAGGGTTTGGTCCCAAATCTCTTTTTTAATTATTTAATTTAATTGTTTTGATTATTATTTTCCTTGAAGTTACTAACGTGTGTATTTTGTAATTAGAAAGAGGTACGAGGCATCCAAGTAAGTACTTTAATGGTTTAATTGATATTATGATGTAGATATCATGCTTAGATTGTTATTTTGATTCCTAGTATCATGTCTAGGGTAACTTTAATATCAAGTATGATTAAAAGTATGATGCTTCCTATATTCTCCCTAATATTTATGATTATTATGATTATGATTGATTATTATTATTTATTATGTTGCTTGATATATATTATATATTGTTATTGCTTGATCACCTTTTGTGTATGTTTAAAGGGAATTGGTACTTGCAATCACGCTTAATAAGATAATTAATAATCTTGTTTAGGGTTAATTGTGATTATAATTCAAGTGATCGCCAATAATAAATTTGTTTGTGCATTAAATTCAACCAACATAGATTAAACAGGTTTAGGGTTAATCCTATTGATTGTATGTTAGTCAGAAAGCGCACATGAATACGAGTAGAATAAAGTGGAGGCCTATTATTAGGGCAGGTTCAATCTCTTTTAGGTTGGATTTGTACCATCATCCCCGAACCCTTATTTGGTTCATGACCTTATGGAGTTGACGATCTCTTGGATCGTTAAGGGGTGTAACCTTCACCTCGTGAACGGTTTACAAGTTCCTTAAAAACTTGTTGGCGACTCTTTTGCTCTATCTTCTTCCCTTTTGGACGCCACCGTACTTTAGTATATGATCACAGTGGGGTTCAAGCTAGTGGGATTTTAAAGGCTTGAAACTATTCCCTACAGTTTTTGGCGACTCAACTGGGGAGGATTTCTATTTTAATTCCTGAATTTGTTTCGGCAATGATTTAGAATGAGTGGATGAGACTCGAAAAGTTCTAAGTATTTCATGTGCGTAATTTTGATTAACATTATTGTCATATGCATAAAAAGAATCTCATTGGAAAGACCATCCGTAATGAGTCAAAAACATAGGATTTTACACGTAGGAAATTTGAGAAATGTCTTTCACAACTAGGACTGAAATAACACCGCGCGAAACTGGATGATTTTATTGAGCACAGAAAGCTGCTGAGGAATGTGGGAAGTAGCGTCAGGGGCCAGAGCTTGGCGCCACACTTTTTGCCGTTGCGCCAGACGCCAGTATTGGCGCCAGACGCTACAGTTAAAAGTTGGCGCCAGTCTCTGTTTGCTGGCGCCAATTTCCCCCAATACCGAGCCAGAAATATGCGTTCTAATTTCGACCGGTTTTTCGTATTGTTTGCTCGATCCTACTTCCTGATTGAATTTTTTCTCATTTTTCTGAAACCCATATGTGTTCTACATATGGACATAACCTTCTGGGAATTCATGCTCTATCTACCCGATTGAACGCTCCTGGCAACAAAGGGTACATCTGAGAGGTTGAATTCACCAAACCATGGAAGTGAGTTTTTTCTAAAAACTCGCGGTGTCCCATCCACACGCGCTAACCCTTCACGGTTAGGCTTCTGCGCGGTGAATCCGGACAATTAACCATGGACCCTCTATTGACTAAACCATATCCTGAACTTTAGAGAACTAGAGCCATGGTTAGGTTGCGAACTCATTGCATCATATTGTGCCTACTTGACTAATTGTGCATTATTTTTTGTGCATACTCTATGTGATTTTTCCTAACCGTTTGTTTGACTTGTGTTAAGACTAAATAAACTGATTAATGACTAAAGGACTTTGTTTAATTAATTAATTAATTAATTAATTAATTCGAGTCAATAAAGATTTTTCTTCTTTTAATCGGAATTGACCTAATACGACTTTAGGCATACCCCAGTTGACTAATAATATCGAAAACAATCCCAGACCGAGGCTCCAATATTGGTGCCAAAATCTGAGTTGTAGCGCCACTGTACGGTGTGTAGCGCCAGACATTTACTAAAAAGTCTGGTGCCAATCACCATATTGTGACGCCAGTTCTGTCGCTTGGCCGACAGTTCGGATTATTGGTCGAGTCATCACCTAGGGTCTAATTAACCAGTTTGCTAATCAATTTGGTTAATTTTCGCTGTCAATAACACCTTGTCGAGTCATTAATCGAGTCTTGGTCACATAATCTAGCCACATGGTCATGACACGAGTCTTAACATGTCACCTACACTCACTAGTCTTAGCACACACTTTGAGTATACATTCCCATGGCCATGTCTTAGGTTCATGCATGAGTCGGTCTTTTCCGCCATTTGAGTTGGGGTACATTCTACTCCTTATCCTTCATATCCCTTCATCTAAATCCTCTTCACATTCTATTCCATTTTTTCTTCACTTCCTCCATCCATTGCATGTTGAATAAAGTTTGAGTCAAATAATTAACAATAAGTATCCCCAAATTCCTTTTCACAGTACTTGGTCGAGGAGAGAAGGGCGATTAATCAAGGACAACCTCTTTATTCAAGTCTCTCTTTTTGATAAACCGATTCGTCAAAAGAGGAAAGCTAAGAAGATAATGGCAACTCAAGAAGAAGTCAATGAGCTTAGGAACCAATTGGTTACCATGACTGAAACACTGAAGCTACTCACCCTCAAGGTTGATGATCCCGTGAAGCTACAACAGATGGACCTCATGCAAGAGAGCCTAAGCAAGTTTTCTAGCGATTACAAGTTTCAAGAGCTTACATCACAAGGGGTCTCGCTGGACAAGGAACTTCTTCCGCATAAGTTCAACGCCAATGACATCCCAAAATTCAAGGAACAGATAACCCTTACTTCCATCTAAGAGCTTTCGAAACTATAATGACCATTAAGGGTATCGATAAGAAGGTTTTTCCCTCTCTGTTCTCACTATTTCTTGAAACCGTTTGCCAACAATGGTTCTTCTCCCTTAACAAGGAGAAAACCTCTACCTGGGAATCGATAGCAAACGCTTTCGTTGATAGGTACAAGTGCAATATTCAAGTTGAAACCGATCATAGACAACTTGAGATGTTAAGACAAAAAGAGAATGAAGGCTTTACTTCTTTCTTTAATAAGCGGAGGGAAACTTCCGCCAAGATGATTGAAGTCTGATGAGTGACATTTATGTTACCCTTAGGGG